ACTGGATATTGCCGTGTACCTAGTACTACTACGGTTTGTATAATTGATGGTTGTACTAACCAGAATCTTCAGAGAATTAATGTATATACTCGAACGGACATGCTATTAAAAACACTGATACACCATTATGACTTTACATTAGTAGAATTGGCCCCCATGACTCTTGTCTTGCTTATCAAGTTCCTTACTACTAGAGTTATTTATTAAATTATTTTGATATTATTTATAACATTTCCATGTCTTATTAAATATTAAAAAACACCTGATAAAAAACTAAGCAACAATAATCATAAATGTTATTTCGGCTAGCTTATGGTTTAGAGACCTCCTACCTCCTTCTTCAAACTTCTATTATAGTCCTCTATATAAGGTCTAAGTTTTATTTCTGGCGAATAGAAAAAAAATAACAATGCCAAAAGGGTGCAATTACCTTTATAGCAATTCGAATTTTCTCCTCAATTGCACCTTGAGAAACATGATAATTGTACTTTCTAGAAGTTGCAGTTATTTAATAATATTTAGTATATTATTAAAAAACCGCAACTTCTAAACAATTTAAAACTTGACTATTTTGTTTCCTAATATTACAGCTATCAAATGTCATTTATCGCATTACTGTAAAACAATTTTATCGGGTGGATTTATAAAACTTGTCTAGCATTGTCCTTTACGCAGGGATAGGGCACATAAATATTTTTAAGAATAGGTGTCTCATATCTAAATAACATAGCTGGAGTTGTTGCATTAAACTATATATAACAATTTAGCAAAAAGAAAAATAGGAACTTGGTACCTTAATTTTCTTTGTGGTGATAGTGATGAATGAAGTTTCCAAAATTTTTAAGTAAAGTATTTTTATCTTATATGTAAAAAATAAGTGTACCAACAAAAAAAATCTAAGTTGCAGTTTGTGGTTGCTTTTCTATCAGTCGCTCTCCTGCTTCAATTAATTTATATACTATAGTTTTACTTGCCGAGCATTTATTAAAAATATACATATAAACCATTCTCTTGACTTAGGTACTTTTTTATCTTTTGCTGAAAACTGAATTAAGATCTTTGGATTAGATTTCATATTACCATAGGTAGGTAGTTTATAAAATCTAAGTATATTTACAGTGGAAGAGATTTGGTTTTCAAGTACTTAGATAGTACAGCAAATAGATTGATGAGTGGAGTGAGGCAGGGTGGATTGAGCTCTCCTCTGCTTTTTAGTCTGTACGTGGATGCACTGATCGAGAGACTCAGCAGCATGCATGTGGGTTGTTTCGTAGATGGCTTGTGTGTAAACAACTTAAGTTATGCCGCCGATATGGTGCTCCTGGCTCCCTCTGTTGGTGCATTGAGAAAGCTACTCGCTGTGTGTGAATCGTATGCGTCTTCGCATGGGTTATTATTATAGATGTAAGGCCGGTTTAAAACCAATTAAACCAATCCGTTTAAAACGAAAAAAAAACGTTTAAAACCGAAATAAACCATTTCTTTTCGTTTTAAAACGGTTGGTGTTGATGACTATGTTTTTCTTAATTATAACTACATTGTCTTGATTTTAACGAGGTAGGAATATAACGGAGTACCTATAAACTGTATAAAGATTTTTTAAATGTGTAATATACTTACTGATATTGATATACTAAGCGAGTTTAGTTCTAGTTGGTCCATCCGCGACCAAGCGTAAGTATTACCTACCTAAGTTATAAAAACTCTGTGTTGGTAAAAAAAAATTCATTGTTGAAATGTACTTAAATACCATAGTTCTTTTATTTTTGTATGCCATTTTGCAACCGTTTAAAACGATTTATTTGAGGTTTAAAACGGCAACATTTTGTTTAAAACGTTTTAAATCGGTTGTTTTACATCTGTAGTTATTATACAATGTTAAAAAGACTGAGTACATTATTTTCAAGGCTGGTACCAAGAGTCCAGATTTCATACCACCAGTGACATTGAATGGCATTCCTCTTAGAAGAGTGCATCAGTTTAAGTACCTAGGACATTTGGTAACCGATGACCTTAGGGATGATGCAGATATGGAGAGGGAACGTAGGGCATTGTCAGTCCGTGCTAATATGTTGTCCCGTAGATTCGCGCGATGTACTAAAACAGTTAAAATAACACTGTTCAAAGCGTATTGCACATCTTTCTACTCTGCGAGTGTGTGGTTCAATTATACCCAGCGGGCTTACAATGTTTTGCACATCCAATATAATAATGCGTTCAGGGCCCTGTTGCGGCGTCCGCCTTTTTGTAGCGCTTCAGCTATGTTTTCCGAGGCGCATACAGATGGTTTTGATGCGATTTGGCGTAAAAAGACTGCATCGCTGTTGGGCAGAACACGCGAGAGTGGCAACAGTATTTTAAACATTATTGCTAGCAAATTTAATAGTCCTCCTATGTGGAAATTTATCCAGAGGACGAAATAACTTTTAGAAATTAAGTACTAACATAATTTAAGTATCTACTAACATATTTTGATCATGTTGTCCTTATTTGAACATTAAATAAATAAATAAATTCACTTGAATTCTTTGACATTTAAGTACATTAAATTATATTACACGATATTTCAATTATATGACTTTAAATGTAGAATATTAATTAATTACATAAATTCATTTTGTTTGACGTTTGGTTTAGATTACTTTTTATATTATTTAAAATACAGGGTGGGCCAAGAATTCGTTAACATTTAAATGTAACTTACCGCGCACACTATTGCCGCGCGGGGCGCGGGCGCGGGCGGGGGCACTAGCTCGCTTCTTGGAAATATAGTCGCAATGGATCGATTCACGGGGCCGCAACGCGCTTACTGCGTGAAACAGTTTTATTTAAACAACTTTTCGCTCATTACTGTGAGACGCTTATTTCGCATATGGTTTTTGAATATGGTTTACACGACTTAAGCCAGTGTCCAAGTGCTCCTTTAATAAAGAAATGGGTGAAGAAGTTCGAAGAGACGGGATCTACACTAAATGTGAAACAAACCGGCGCCGCGGCGGCCCGCGGACTTCTCGGAGCGTAGAGAACGTGCAGCAAGTTTCCGCTTCTGTTCGACGTGATCCAAATTTATCGACACGCAAACGTTCGGCTGAATTAGTATTATCCCGCACATCATTACGCCGTATTTTGAAATTAGATTTGAAATTACATCCATATAAGATCCAGCTAGTGCAAGAACTAAGCCCTAATGATTTAAATTTGCGTAAGTCATATGCCGAAACAATGTTAACTCGATTCAGTAATTTTCACAACATCTTTCCCATTTCCACCTAAATGGACATGTAAACAAACAGAATTGCAGGTATTGGAGCAGCGAAAATCCTAAAGCTAAACATGAGAGGCCACTTCACTCTCCCCAGGTAACTGTATGGGCTGCAATTTCAGCAAAAGGAATCATCGGACCTTACTTTTTTGAAGATTCTCGAGGCCGTTCAGTTACTGCTAATTCTGCCGAGTATGTGAAAATGTTACGGGAGTTCTTAGCACCGATGCTACTGGAATTTGCTGGCTATAGTCGTAACACATGGTTTCAACAAGATGGAGCCACGTGTCACACATCGAACGAGTCCTTGCCGGTGGTCAAAGACATGTTTCCGGAAAAGCTGATATCCAGACGGGGTGACATCCCATGGCCACCCAGAAGTCCAGATCTATCACCAGCAGACTTCTTTTTATGGGGTTATTTAAAGAGTCGTGTCTGCATTGATAAACCGAATACACTGCGTCAACTTAAAGAAAAAATCATCGAAGAGATGTCGGCGATCTCGCGGCCTCTTTGCAGAAGAGTATTCGAAAACTTTAGGACTCGCTTAGATGAGTGCAAAAACCGAAACGGTGGTCATTTAGACGAAATAATTTTTAAAAAATAAATTACAACTAATTAGCTTTCTCGTAAATAAACGATTTCTAAAATATGTTAAATGGTTTTTTTTATACGATTTTTTCAAATGTTAACTAATTCATGGCCCACCCTGTACATTTCAATATTTAAAAAACACACATTGATTGAATCCTAGAAATAATACCTATATACTAACATAGCATTTAAGTTAAATATTGTTACTAACGTTTTGATGGACCATTATGTTGTCTGTAATAAACAATTTGAATTGAAAATTTGAAATAAATCGGACCACCCTATGTAGCTGTGGTATTCTGATTAGATTTTCTCAAAAACCATTAAACTTACATTATCAAACCTTTAATTATAAAAAGTGGGTTTCATTTTATTACAATTATAATGAACAGGAATTAATTGAGATTAATTAATTTATTTTTATTTTTAATATGAAAGTCTTTTCCAGTTGTTAATATAGTTACATAGTAAATAACGTAGGTAGCAAAAAATAACATGTCTGAGAAAACGATGGATTAAAAAACTGGCCAAGTAAAGTTGGTGTAAGGTCTCTTGTTAACAACTGTTGTGTCACCGGACACCACCGGGCTCCCGTACAAAATGCTTGACTTTATCTTAGGCCCGTATTACAGAATGACAACTAAGTGTTGATCTTTATTTGAGTACAGTTAGAAAGGGATGTCGCTATGTTCTATATATAGCGACATCCCTTTCTAACTATGCACAAGACTAGATCAATCACTGGGAATCTTTCTATAATGTACTCAAGTGAACATCAACACTTAGTTGTCATTCTGTAATACGGGCCTAAGACTATTGACTGATACCTAATCATCGACGGTCAACTTTAACGCATCAAAGGTATATAGGTATCATTCGCGTATCGCCTTACCTCCCCAGTCCTCGTAGCATGAGCTGAGCACCACATTTTACATTATGTTATGATTTTTATCGCGTCTTACTGTCACACTTAATAGTAATTTGACAATTTAGCGTGATAAAAATGTGCTATAAATCACATCGCGGTGCTCATGCATGCATTTGATGTTTCACCTTTTCAAAAATTTTCGAGTGTTGATGACAAAGCCATTGGCAAGATGTCAATCTCTGCGTGATAAGATTAGATTAATATGTTGTTTCATAGGTGGTGTTCACTGCACGAGGACTTATGCCCCCAGTTTTCACTCCACTCAACGACGATGGAACCATCAGATTCTCGGCTATCCCTCCGTATGCTCAGTATCTTGCTGATGCCGGCATCAAGTCCGTCCTTGGTGAGTGAAATCTGACAGATGGGTGAAATAAATAAAAATAATATGAGGGTTTATGTAACTTGCGTCAATAAAGAAATCTCGAAAGGTGTGTACGCCGGGTTTCAAGGTGTCGCCTATCAGAGGTGCCGGGTTCGATTCCCGGTGGGTCAAATGTTTGTGTAATGAATACGAACATTGTCATGGATGTTTATACATTATTACAGTACTTTTAAATAAAAATATACTTATCAGTTTATAAATTCTATCCGTTACGATAGTAACTCATAACACAAGCCTTTAGGGGTTGTCCATTAATCACGTGAGGCTCGAAAGGGGGGGGGGGGGGGGTCCGTAAAAAACACGAAATATCACAAGGGGGGATGGTGGGTGTAGTAATATATCACGTGTATTTACGTGGTCCGAGGATACTGTACATTAAATAATGTTCATGTATTAGTACAAAAAGTTTTTCAGTTTCTTTCATTATATTGATGTCAGTCAAAAACAACCTTTCTGTCTACCTCTAAAAGTTTAAAAAAATAAGATTCTTTGTAGGTAATAAAAATACACGTGATATGGGGTGGGGGGTGGCGGGCTAGACTTTAACCTCACCATGTATCACCATGGGGGAGGAGGGGTTAAAAAATGCCAAAAAAAACATCACGTGATTAATGGACGGCCCCTTACGAGTGCTTACTTTGGAGCTAAGCTATTTGGTGTGTAAAAAAATCACACAAAAACGGCTCAACATATTTGGGTGAAATTTGGCACATTGGATTGGGACAAAGGATGCTGTTTAGAACGGAAAACAAGATTCGGTGGGATTCTCCAAAAAGTAACTTTAACAAGGACAAGGTCGCTGGCATTATCTAGTGAATAATAAATTAAAATTTATAAGTACCGCAATTTAGTCCAGTTTCATGACCAACGTTCATGCTAGCGCTTGACATGGCTATTCGTATAACGTTTTTATTGATCTTTTACAGGTCCTGATTATGCACTATAGGGAATGAAAAGGATGGACTGATGTTGTCTTATTTTGCAGTGGGCGGTACGACGGGGGAGAACATGTGCTTGAAAGTGGAAGACAGGATGAGGTTAGTGGACGAGTGGGTAGCTTGTTCGAAGACTACTCGCCTGCACATCATGGTGCAAGTAGGCGGTGCGCCTATGGCCGACGTCCTTACTTTGGTATGTATCCTGTGCATCATTATCAGCCTAATAATGTCCCCACTGCTAGGGCACAGGCCTTCCCTATGGATGAAATAGGGAGATTGGGCCATGACCTACCACGCGGGCCCAGTGGGGATTGGTGGGTGCTAAGGAATGCAGTTGCAGCCGGGACCATCGGCTTAACGTGCCTTTCGAAACATGGAGGAGCTCCAGATATAAATTTTTGGTCACCCATAAACAATAATGTCAATAATATTAATGTCTCGAGAATTAATCTCTCGACTAATTTTTTTGTGAAGAAAACCATAAACCACGTAATCAAAATATCTATTAATATCAGAAATTAAATTGCAAAGTAACTTTCTATTCGTTACTTACCTATTGAAGTTTAAATAGCTGTCGCTATTTAGATGAAATTGTATAGATGCCAAGCTGGGGAGGGTATATCGATCTACCATGGAACATCCCAATTTTTTGTAGGTATTTAATTTTCGATATACTATGCTTGGCGCTAGGGGCACGCCAACTGATATGTAGTGTGGCGGTTAAAAGGGTAAACTTGAAAACAAAAACAACAAAGGGTAAACACCGAATAATTATTTTGCATTAAGATAAATGAATTGGTTACGCGTGTTATTTATTTGCTGATAAAATAAACGTCAAAGGAAAGGGATTTATCTTAAAAACGAGTAAACAAACTTATCAGTGTAGGTATTCATTGAACAAAAACTGTTAAGTAATGTTGATAAATCATATTGATAATGTACTTGCCATGTCACTTAAGTAATACAGCTGCTAAGAATAGTAAAAATACTGTCGACTTTATTCTTAAATATTTACTTTCAAAACATCATCTGAATTCGTAATCGTCGCTCTACACTAAGTTACTTCTGTAAATATTACTAAGGCCCGTATTACAGAATGACAACTAAGTGTTGATCTTTACTTGAGTAGGTACAGTTAGAAAGGGATGTCGCTATGTGCTATATATAGGGACATCCCTTTTCTAACTATGCTCAAGATTAGATCAATCACTGAGAATCTTTCTATAATACAGCCTAAGTGTCCTGAGAAAAACGGTCTTTACAGACGGACAGACGGACGGACGGACAACAAAGTGATCCTTTAAGGGTTCCGTTTTTTCCTCTGAGGTACTTCCGTTTCCTAAGAGAATGCCTATGGCATTAAGTCCGCCATTTACTGTTTTTTACGGTAATAAAGAATAAATAAACCCTAAAAAAGTTGTCAACGCAGGTTGAACAAGTCTTGGCAAATAGGGATGCTATTTTTGCTACCTAAACCTGTTTTTTTTTATTGACAATCTTTGCAATGGATGGATACAATGTCCTTATGTTTATGTCTTTGATTATATGCACGCCTAGATAGAGCACGCCAATCAAACCACGGAAACACAACGGCTCATGTTAAGGGCCCCATATACGGAACGATTCGTCGTTGCGATCGATCTGAAGGAAATCGTCAACGATCGATCGTTCAGAAATGCCACTACATACACGAAACGATTGATGGTAACGATCTATCATTTACTTGTTTCAAACGGTAGGATAAAGACGTACTCAAATAATTCAATACTTGCCCTCTAACATGGAAAACGAACTCATGATTGCATGAGCGATATTCATGATTGCATGGGATTTGGTTGCGATTTGCGATATCGTCTTCGATTAAGTAAATCGTTAACGATCTTGACATACACTGTCGATCCATCGTATCGATCGGTCTGAAACGACGTATCGTACAGATCAATCGTACCGTATATGGGACACTGACGATCGATCGTTCACGATATTCATGATTGCATGGGTTTTTGTTGCGATCTCCGATATCGTCTGCGATTAAGTTAATCGTTAACGATCTTGACATACACTGTCGATCCATCGTTTCGATCGGTCTGAAACGACGGATCGTACAGATCAATCGTTCCGTATATGGGCCCCTTTACGCGCAATGTGAGCGTGACCCTATTTTCAGATTGTTTGAAAGCAATGTGTGCGGTGTGTATAGTGACGAGCTCATCTAACATATGTAGTAGATATTTTGAAGTGAAAACTTCTTTAGCGGTGTTGTACACATTTTTTGTATTGGTAAAAAAATGTTAAACTCTCCTCAGGACACGTGGCGTAAGACGAAAACAATAAAATTGGAAAGGTTGTTGACTTTCAATATATTGGACGAAACATAGAAATATTTTATAGTAAGTATTATGGTAATAAGTCTCTAATTAAGACGTCCAGGTGGCAGCCTTATTGCGAAGAAAATGCATTTTTTTTACAATAGATGTCGCTAGGTGCGCTTAAATGTGATGTATGTTGATTTTTCTGATAGATAAACTTTTTAATGTAATATAAATTGTCATGTTTGTGTACGATAAAAGTATGGCGCAATAAATAAATATTGTATTTTACCACATAAACGATAGCACTTTTATACTGACAATTAAAGCAATTCGTGCAAAATTATTCCCTAACCATTTCAAAATATCAAAAATGCACAAAATATTCAAGTTTTCACTTCTGCCGGCACTCCTGGAATGCAACCCGTTTTTTTTTATTCCGCTTCCGTGTAGTAAATACGGTATCTACACGTGTATATAATCAAAGGATTATGTAATGTTTCTTTGTTTGTGGTATTGTTAACCGTGATTGTGTTATTTTTCTACTTTTTTTCACATCAACCTTAGGCCCTGCCAGAATATCAGTGGCGCAGCGGCCTTGGTGTCGTTGTGGCATTGTGCTACAGTTGACATTATTCTGTATTTTTATTTATGATTATTTTTCTATTTGTCAATGTTATTGGTCAATAATTTATTTATTTATTTCTTTAATGTTTCTGCAGGCGAAATATTGCCAGAGTGCAGGTGTCCACTCCCTGCTGACACTACCTGAGTTGTACTTCAAGCCTCAGTCTGTTGACGAGTTGGTTTCCTACGTTCAACTAGTGGCCGAGGCGGCGCCACGCCTCCCTGTCTTATATTACCACATTCCGAGCATGAGCAAAGTGGAAAGTAAGTTTACGATACTATGATTTCCTAATGTTTTATGTTAAAATCAAGGATATGGTGCCTTGATGGTAAGCGGCCACCATCACCTATATATAAATAAATAAATAGAGAGGTCCCGGGTTTGAATCCCGGAGGGGCAGATGTTTTGTGTGATGAATACGAGCATTTGTACTTTAGTCATGGATGTTTAATATGTAATGCTATATAAATATACTTATATATTACTTATATATGAGGAGCTCGATGACGCAAGTGGTTAGCGCGTTCGGCTGCGATCGTTGAAGTTAAGCAACTTTCGCAGTGGTCGGTCATTGGATGGGTGACCAAAAATTTATTATCTCGAGGTCCTCCGTGCTTCGGAAGGCACGTTAAGCCGTTGGTCCCGGCTGCATCTGCAGTCGTTAGCACCCGCCAATCCGCACTATTCCATCCATAGGGAGCCTGTGCCCCAGCAGTGGGGACATTAATAGGCTGATGATGATGATGATGTACTGTACATGTTTTCAATCCGTTACCCTAGCATTCCATAACACAAGCCTTACAGTGCTTACTTTGGCGATAGGCTAACTGGTGTGAGTGTTGGAGATATTAAATATATGTATGATGTATACCAAAAATATCAGTTTGCGTTGTCTACCCTGACCCAATCCTCTACCCCGTGGAGCCTTGGAACCTTACTCACCGACAGAAACACAACACCATCGTAAGACTCATTCTACTTCTGTGATGTGGAGGTAACTTCCCCGGACGGGCGCTCCAATTTGAGCGGAAAACCTCATACTTATCACCTATCTACTTTTTTATGCCTACTATTAGTATTGTTACATGTCGGGATGGGTTTCGAAATTATAATGCCAGTTCACGCTTGACAGTAATTTATTGAGCACACAGTTGCAGAGCACTATGGTAAACACACAATACTAATTACATATAGTCTCTGTCCATTATTCAAGTCCTTGGATAATTTCCAGACTGTTCGTCACAGTATTAATATATTTATTAATTTACTAGCTGACCCAGCGAACTTCGTACCGCCATAAAAAAAATTAATTAAAAAAACATTGTCCAGCGGACAAAATTGTGAATCTAAACCATTCTCAGATCCCCTTGAACACACACAAAAAATTTCATCAAAATCGGTCCAGTCGTTTAAGAGAAGTTCAGTGACATACACACTCACAGAAGAATTATATGTATAAAGATTATATTCTAACGCACATCAATCATCTATTCAATTTTTTTTGAAGTGATATGATATCCCTTTAAAAATATATGTGACTAGCTGACCCAGCGAACTTCATACCGCCCTAAAAAATAGGGGTTGTCCAGCGGACAAAATTGTGAATCTAAACCATTCTCAGATCCCCTTGAACACACAAAAAAATTCATCAAAATCGGTCTAGTCGTTTAAGAGAAGTTCAGTGACATACACACTCACAGAAGAATTATATATATAAAGATATATTGAATAATACACTTGCTTTCGCCCGCCACATCGTCTGTGTCATAGCTACTTTTTTTCTGAGATCTAGATAAGATACAGAAACCTAGGTACCGCTCGGTAGAACAACTGGTTTTTTGAAGTAACAAAAACGCAACCGAGGTAAATGTTAGGTAGCCAAATTCTTAAATCTTTCTTCATCATTGTAAATGTTTGAAATCACACTAATATTATAAAGGCGAAAGTTTGTGAATGTGTATGTTTGTTACTTCTTCACGTCTAAACGGCTGGAGTGATTTTAATAAAATTTGGTATGGAGTTATCTGGCACCCTGGATTAACACATAGTCTACGTTTTACTGCAGGAAAATATCCCTATAAACCGCGGGGCACAGCTAGTATATTATATAATCTTCTATATAAATCAATTGCTGTTCGATAGTCTCGGTACAACTCGAGAACGGCTGAACGGATTTATGTTATCTTGGTCTTGAAATGTTCGTGGTGGTCTAGGGATGGTTTAAAAGGGGAGAAAATATGGAAAAAATGCGAGGAAGATAGTAAAAACGTCAATTTAATTTTCACATATAAACTGTTCTATCTTCTTTCCTGTCAAACATTTGATGTTCGTCCCTTTTGGTACGGTAAACTCGGATCCGTCATTTCTTCCAAATTATTTTAACCCGTACGAAGTACGCGGGGTGAACTAGTCAATAATATTTTTTTTTCTTTTTTCAGTCAACATGCCACAATTTGTATCTGCTGCTACGAAGTGCATACCTAATTTCAGAGGTATAAAGTTTACGTCGAATGATTTGAGCGAGGCGGCGCAGGTCCTGAGAAACTTACAAGATGGCCAGGAAATCTTCTTGGGTGCCGATACTGTGAGTATATTAGTTATTCTATACTAAAATTATTTATTACTCGACGACCTCCGTGGCCGAGTGGTTTGTACGCTGGGTTTCAGGGTGTCGCCTACTCGAGAGGTTCCGGGATCAAATCTCGGTGTTTGCAGATGTCTGTGTGGTGAATACGAGCATTTGTACTCCAGTCCCATGACTGACATCATGACATCCATATGTTTAATATGTATTTCATCATCAGCATCATCAGCCTCTTAATCTCCCCACTTCTGGGGCACAGCACAGGCCTTTCCTATGGATGGAATAGGGAGATTGGGCCATGACCCACCACGCGGGCCCAGTGCGGATTGGCGGGTGCTAACGACTGCAGATGCAGCCGAGACCAAAGGCTTAACGTGCCTTCCGAAGCACGGAGGAACTCGAGATAGAAATTTTTGGTCACCCATCCAATGACCGACCACTGCGAAAGTTGCTTAACTACAACGATCGCCGAACGCGCCATCGAGCTCCTCTTATTTACATATAAATATACTTATATTTACAGGATGTAAAAAATCCTGTGACAAGGACTCAAATTTCGCATTCTGTACACCCAAACAAGTAATATTACAAAATATTATACGTTAGAAAAAAATGTATTAAAACTTAAAAAAAAACAGTACGCAATGTATAGCGCAGTGCGCTACTTTGGCGCTACGCAAAGAATGTGCCTGTGTGTATGTGTGTGCGTGTGTGTAAGTAAGTGCGTCGATCAAAAAGTTTCTAAATAACGTTTTGAAAAGATTAAAGTAAAAATTATGAAAAAAAAAATGTTTCTTTAACCTTCAATATTTCCACAACGAGAAATTTCCCAGATATGGTCCAGAAGAAAAAAATATCGTCATGATGTGGAAAATACGTGGCTTTCGACTTCGTTAAAGGTTTTTTACACCCTGTTTGTATCAGTTTATTATGTATTCTAACTGTTACCCTAGTATCCCATAACACAAGTTTACAGTGCTTACTTTGAGGCTAGGGTAATTGGTGTGAGTGTTGGAAACATTTATTGAAGTGAAACTTCTTTATCGGCGTTGGAAAAAATTTACCGTCACATTTTTCGGTTACGCGTCACATTTTTCCGTTACGCGCCATCTTTTTTTATATTAATAGTTGATCGCCGGCGAGAACTCTCTCTACTCGTTTGTAGCTGAGTGACAATAGTTATTAAAGATAAGACTCGCTCAGCCAAACTCGCATAGCGATACTCGCCCAGCGATACTCGCTCAGCGATACTCGCTCAGCGATACTCGCCCAGCGATACTCGCTCAGCGATTCTCGCTCAGCGATTCTCGCTCAGCGATTCTCGCTCAGCGATACTCGCTCAGCGATACTAGCTCAGCGATACTCGCTCAGCTATACTCGCTCGGTTAAGCTGGCTTGGCTGTCAAAAGCCGTGCGCGTGCATTTTAACTCAGGACTGCCAATTCGTTTCTAGTTTCTACTCGCTTATCGTTCATCGTCGGAGGTGGAACATGTGCCTTAGATTACTGAGCCGTGTAATCATAACAGTTTCATAGGCAGTAATTTGTATTCATGTCTATGATAATAAAATCCTTTTGTTTAAACTTTATCTAATTTAACTTTATTTAACCAATTTCTGGAAAGTTGCATGTAGATCATTTTTCGAAAAATAAGGCCATAAAGAAGTTTCACTTCTTACGTGTGTACACTAGTACACGCACACATTTTTTTTTATTCTAGTAGGTGCCCGCGGCTTCGTCAGCGTGGAAGGTCCCTCCAGCTCCAGGTCCCTTTGTGACATTCAGTGCTTTTATGGCTTTAGTGATAATCTCCTGAGAGAACGAAATATCACTTAAGATAGTTCGAGATATCTCCAATGATTTTCACAAGATTCTGTTTTCGTTTTTCGGGAACATTACTTATTTCGACATTACAAGCTCTTGATTTCTGCTCTATATAATCTATAGTTTCTTGAAGTTCCATAATTTGTTATTTGAATCCTCAGACTTATCTTCAAGTACCAAAAGGCGATTTTCAACATCCTGAATCCAATCAGTGAGATCATCGAAACTGGTGCTGATAGCAATTATAGATGTTTTCACTTCCTCAAAATCCTTCACTAATTGAGAAAACTTGACATTTTGTTTAGTAAACCAGGACTCCATTTTACTTAACATAGTGTCCTGAAAAGATTGAAATTCACTCTTCAAATCCAGTTCAATCGCAATTGGAATACCTTTGCGGAAACATGTTACATCCGTCGAAGGTGATTCTGTTTCCAGAAGCGACCCGTCAATGCTCGTTTCACCCGATTTAGTTTGGTTCTTCTTCACTTTGCAAGAGGGTGTTATCTATAGCACTCATATTGATGTGTACATCTTTCCTCTCGCTTTCGTGCAATTTGTGGGAGTGATTACGTGAAGTGGGACGGAAGTGTGTAACAGGAAGTTTGGCAAACGCGCGCTATTTGTGAATCATAAAAATACATTTTGATTTAAATACCATACCATTGTAACTAAGTGAGTAATGGTACCATATTGTGACAAAAAGTCCGGACTTTTTTTAAAATGTCAGGACTTTTGAAAATTTTAAATGGTAACCCTAAGCGTACGTCGCTGTACAGAACGGTTGCAGTGAGTGGTGCGTAAACAAGTGAACTATTTGTTTACCCACCACTCACTGCATTATCCCCTCAGGTTCGAGTGGTCTAGAGGCTCCAAACGGAGAGGAGACTCCCCCCGTGGGGAGATGCCATCCGCCTGGGATACCTCTAGAGGCACTCGCCAATTCTCGGCTTGAGGTCCCCTTAGGATCTCGCCGTCCCCAAACCTGGTGACGTTGTAAAGGTCATCTGCGACCAACAGCATACACACCCAAAAAATAAAAACCACTTACTGCAACCGTTCGGTATGGCGACGTACGCTTAACTGAATCGGTTTAGCTGTTCAAAATGAAGAGGTAACACAAAGAATAAAGTTAAGTAAGGAAACTTGACTTATAGGTATTCTTTTACCCAATAGGCACACAGTAAGGTTTTAGGTTTTATTTGAATTTTTATCGGGCATTGAAAATAAAAATGTTTGATGTGTGTGTTGAATGTTGTTTGAAAAAGGGTTTTCAAGGTAAAATTATTGTCTGACACAAACTGACTTGACAGACCGCCATAAAAAAGGGTTTTCAAGGTAAAATTATTGTCTGACAAAAACTGACTTGATAGACCACCAATATTTTTTTTAAAGTATTTCTTTTGTATTTCCAGTTGATGGCCCCGGCCGCGTTATTAGGCATCACTTCAAGTATAGGCACATCCTTCAACTTATTCCCAGAGTTGGCTCAGCAGATATTGAAGGCCGTGGAAGATAACGACGTACCGTTCGCTCGACGTTTGCAAGAAAAACTCAGTTTAGCCATCGAGGCTCACACTAGCGAAGGTGAGACGGATTTTTATAAGATTTTTATAAATGCTAGTACTTTTTGTGTTAATTTAAATTAACGCAAAAAGTACTAGCGTTTATCTTTTGAGGATCCCACAGGAACCTGACATTTTGCGAGATGAATAGTTATCTTAAAATGAAAATTTGTCTGTAAGTCTGCTACCTCATCACGCTTAAATCGCTGAACTGATTGAGATGAAATAGTTTCGGTTCCGGGGAAGGACAAAGGATAGTTTTTTTTTTCAAAAATCGTCTTTTAGGTGGGGGATGAAAAGGGGTTGGAAATTTGTTTGTTGAACGATTGCAAATTTTGTTATAAAGTTCACTTGGTTCCATTCTACTTACCTTTAAAATTGATTGGATTGAAGTTCTTTTAATATTATGTATTTTTAGCGGGTAGGACAACATCTGTTGAGCAGGTCCGCTAGTAAACAAATAAAGGACAATGTTAAAATTGGCCTAAGAACCAACACCAATTTGGCATTTATGATAATTCTTAGTATATTTTTTGAGAAAATTATCAGTATTTAGATTGTAACGGACACTTCCAGTTAAGTAAGCTAAATTAAAAAGTTAAAAAATAATCTGAGACAATAAATACCATTTTATGTGTATAATCTATGACAGCACTGCAAACAAAACACTCTTTCTTCCTAATGCCGGCACTTCACATAGCTATTCGTATTTGCTTCTTGAAAACTTGACATCAGTCTGTCCTTTTCATTCCTTATTATGACATGACAAGGACAGACTGTTGTCAAGTGAAGGGCCGGCATAAACTCGATACTCTGTGGTTGTGGTGCAGGCAGTTTGCATTCGTAGTAATCTGTGGCATTCGTGCATTCTTGTTTCGGATTACCTGTTGTATGTGTTTATTTGCGATTGTTTTTCCTTTAATTTAACTATTTCGGCTATCTAATATGCCATCGAATGAATGATGAAAAAATATGCCTTCGATGTTATATTAAAGAGCAGAGACCTTATTACCAAGTGCTAGTGAACCTGTGCCACAACATCCTGAGAGGATCATACTGCCAAATTATTCAAGAGCACCTGATACACATTCACGCTGCATATTTACACAGTATACATGTGATATACAAATAAATATAATATACAATATGATACAATTATGTGAAATACAGTCAATAAATAAGAAGCAAAACTACAGTTTTTATTTTATTCATGATTCCTACCTAACCAAGTTTTTCCTAATGGTTATTCTTTAAAATCGCACCGAATAAAATGAATTAGTTGTAATAATTATTCACTTCATACTGAGTTCACACTAAGTTCATAGGTTGACCTATGTTTCTTAATATAAAACATAACCTCAAAACGATTTTAGTTTTCCTAATAGTTTAAGTTCTCAAGAGTGTTCGTCAATAATCTTTGTTTTTACAGTCATTTACTTGCGATTTCGAACCTAGAAAATAATATTTCATGATTGTTGGTTCTTAGGCTAACTATGTATGGACGCAGAACAATGTCCTTTGGTATTTCCATTTGATCACTCGATGTTTTATTGTATTTTTTAGGTGCGTGGGTGCCAGTAATGAAGGCCGGCATGGAGATTGTCTCCGGAATCAAGGTGGGCCCGCCGGCCCTACCTCAAAGGCCAATATCGGAAGAGGCCAAGGCCAGAATAGCACAAAAACTTGTCGACCTAGGAGTAGTCGACGTTAAAGTCAAATTGGAACAATAAATATAATTAATATATCTAAAGCCAAATGATGCATTGTGTATATATTGTCCATAATAAGGAATTTGTAATGAGATGAAAAAATAATTAAGAATTTATGTATTTGTATATTTTTTATTATTATTACTCTACCACTTCCGGGAATGGGTAGGCAAAGGGAACAAATCTCATGCAGCCTCCTCGTTAGTATTATGGAGGTGTTTTGATTCCCCTTTTCAATAAAGAAATGAAAACGAAAAAAAAAGTACAAGTACTTACACTACTACACTCGATTGAAACCCTTGTTCCATATATCTCTATTCACATAATTATCTCTATTAGTAGGCATTATTTAAACACTCATAGTCACCATTAATGAAACTGTATAAGGTCTTAATTAAAACGCATGCGTCAAAGAGTTATGACAGTTCAAAATGCAAGCTCGTAAAACTTATTTCTTTGACTCTACGCGCAATTCCGCGAAAAAAGAGACGGCTATATTACCGACCAAGCATTTGAATAGGTATCATAAATATTTTCTATTAAATCAGTTTTATAGTAAGTATTAGAACATAATATGCTTCATTTGCTTTAAATTTACAAATATTTATTAGATACTTGTTGAAAAATGCACACTATGTACTAAAAGTATTTATTTGGTATTTTTTCACGGAGCTCTGCAGCAACTTGACTTTTCAACGGTTCGCGTGTGACTGTGAACCAAGAAGCGCTTTATTGGTGTTCAAGGACTTCTTGATTGGGACACATTTTAAGCGCTCGTGGTGTATCTAGGGTATTTAATATCGCTGTCTATGTATCTTAGAGTGTCCGCTGCCTTGACCCGCGACGAACCACGTCCTTGCACCCGCTATGCTAACTCAAAGCTCTTTTTGTTCACAAAATGTAAACTTCTAGATGCCTAATGGCCGGGTAGGTTTTTGTCTTTCTTTTCCTCTCTGATCCTCTGATCTACTTCTCTATCTTCCTTCCTCTCTTGGCCCATCTTGCCTCTCTCTGGCAAGAAGGGCACTCTCTTCTTTTACCTGTTCTCTCTCTATCTCTCGTCCACCACCAGCACGTTATAGCTGGTGGTCTACCGAACCTGCGCATCGCCCGCCTTAAAGCACGGACCGCTGAAGCGCAGGTCAATCGCCCGACGCCGTTAACACTCAAACCCAGCTTTTTATTTTTGTCTTTATCATTTTATTTCTATTGCGAACTATTTTACACTAGCGATAAACTCAGTTATTTAAAAAAAAATAAAAAAATGGCCGGGTAGGGTAGTTAATGTTAATTCAGTTCAGGACTTCACATTCCAGACCACAGGGGGCGCCGGCTCCGGTCACTTAGGCGGCGTGTCTGGTTGGCAACATACAGTCATGTACATCAATGATTACATCATCTTAAAGTAATACATAGGTTTTAGACCTTGAGTGCCTACAACTACATTGTTATGAAACTTTATGGAAGTCAGGTTAGAAGCAATACAGTGTGCTATATCATCTTCATCAGGTTCTGTATATCACTTATTACAATATTTCAAAGGCAAATTTATGCAGTATTAAAAAATAAAACAAAAAACTTGAATCAAGTAACAAATAAAATACCAAAATCAGAAAAAAAACAGAAAGCAGTAACAATGTACAGAAAACTACATACAGGTTGATCATCCGAAACTGTTAAATGAGCTTTATGTTGGGTAGCTCGACCATCGGGTTGCTCGACCGGGGGCTATGCTCGACCAGACGCGAAGCTCGACCGGCCTCGGGGCTCGACCGACTTAATAATTTTGTTATATAATTTTGTTTAGTAATAAGTTTTCTTTTCATCCTTCCTTTCCTCATCTGATCAGCTGATCAATTTCTCTGTCTTTCTTCCTCCCTAGGTCCCATCTTGTCTATTCTCTTTGGCAAGTGGGGCACCCCCTACTTTAAATCTGTCCCCTTCTTTCATCCCATCGTCCATCCAGCATGGTATAGCTGATGGACGATTTCGGTGACAGCTTCCGGACACATGGGCCGGTCACCCGGACACCAGTAACATTTAGAATCATTAGTTAAGAACACGTACAATATGTGAACTATATCGAACCAAGTGAAAAACTCAGTTACTCAAAAAAAAAACGCCAAATGAAAGAAAAAAATATTGAACTTTTCAAAAGAGCTTTTAATTTCTTCTTTCAAATGTTTAATATTTGTAAAGGTAATTCATTTGACATTGTGGGTTAACAACAATGCGAAGAGATGGCACTGCCTTGCAGCTTAAGAAAGGCTAGAAAGAATTCAACATGGTCGTCAGGGCCGCGGTAGCATAATGGTCAGTGCATTCGCCCGGATAGCGAAGGGTGCGGGTTCGAGTCCCGTCTGCTGCCTGGTCCGCGTGGATTTTTTCTAGAATTTTTCTTTAGATTTAAAGCTTTCAATAAGTTTATTTGAATAAAGTGTATTTTCATTTCATTCCATTTTCTGCTCAGTGGTGGGAGCGGAGCGTAATGTATTGTTAAATCGATTTTCTCGTCGACGGCACTGGTCGCGCGTACTCGAGACAGTCCTTAAGGACGCGAACGCCCTTTAGTGCGTTTTTAGTGTGTTTCGCAATACAATTTTAAGTGTGTTAGGTAAAAGCATAAATTTAACTAAATCGATGGTTGTAACCTAATGGGTCAATTACATTTGGTCGATAGCCCGTATTCGGGTACACGAAAGAAATTAATTGAATTCGGGCACACTAGGATTTACCGCTGGTAGACGGTGTCGGGTAACCAAAACAAATGTACTGTGGTGTACTGACGTGAAATTGATTGTAGCTTTTGACTTTGTATTTGCTATGGTGCCACGCATTGCGTGTTCCGTGCGCTCCATCTGACTTATGTTCTGTAATCTGAGATTAGTAGGATTACAATATTAATTGGTATAGGATCAATAGTAGCTATATTTAATATTTAAATCTATAGAAAAAATACAACTACAGTTGTTGGATAATTTGGTTTAAGCGAGCCTTCATGGTATCCTTCTGGTGTTGATCCAAAGGTTTGAGAGGTCTCCGCGGAGGACCCACACTTATGCCGGTGGTCAGCTCCATAGCTGTTTTCATGCTTGGTACAAAATCCCCTGTAAAATGTTAAACCTTGAATGTAAATATACTTATTGCTGTTGATCAGTGGCGGACTAACAGGGGGGCGGAAGGGGCGGCCCGCCCCGGGCCTCCGATCTTGGGGGGCCCCCAAATACCCGTTACCCTGATCACATTTAAAGATTTCTTTAAACAAGACTTTAAAGAAACCAGGAAAAGTGAAGGTAAAAAGAACGATACCGGGTGAATCAGCTCAAGATGCTGGATTATCAATTCAAGAAGAAATACGTCGGTCAATGTATGAATGCATAGACCGCTTTAAACAAGAATTTTCGAATTGGGCTATTAAACAAATCAAAAATATTTTCCAAATTATTGAAACAAAGTTTATGCTAGAAGCTTCAGATGACGCTCTGGCTGTAGCAGTTGACAATCTGATACAAAGTTATGGTGAATTGGACAAGACTGGTTTTAACGAAATAAACATAAGAATGTACATTTTTTTAAAGCTGGGGGCTTCATTCAGCTTTGCCGCCCCGGGCCTCTGACGTGCTTAGTCCGCCACTGCTGCTGATTATACACACCAAAAAATATAATAACCAACAGGGTGACTAAAAATAGCGAGAATGCACGTGTCCGATAGTACCTACCTAGGCATTTACATTCATGATATTTTAAATTTTATCATTTCATCCAGCCCAAGGGCTGGCAGAGGCTCCACATACTTTCTCGCTTACCCGCTGGTTGAAGGATGCGTAAGGCATTTTCCAGATACAAAAAAGGCTTGGCCTGCTTGGCAAACTTTTTGAGCATAAACAAAAAAGCCTGCAATTTAACAAACAAAAACGTCTACTGCGCAAGTTTACTTGTCTGTGGTTTTGCTCAAGAAGTTTTTCGCATTCTATAGGAAAGTACTTACATTTACCTACCACCGTGATGGCAGCTACTAATGAATCAAGCTTGGCCTGCTTGGCAAACTTCTTGAGCATCGATCGTGAACAAGAAAACCTGTGCAGTAGCAATTTTACATACAAAAACGTATACTGCGCAATTTATCTTGTCTTTGGTTTTACTCAAGAAGTTTGCCGCTACCTATACTCACACTTTCCTCGCTGCGTGATGGCAGCCACCAGCGCTTTGCGCTTGGCATTCTTCCGTCTCATTAGTCTAGGTATTGACGCAACGTGTATGTACAAAGTTACTGACCAACCAGCAACGGTAACGGGCTTTTCTATATCTATCGTCTTAAATATTTATCGTCACTCACATTTCCCTTGCTGCGTGATGGCAGCCACTAACTTATTTAGCTTGGCCTGCTTGCGCAACAACGAGGTGGGTACGATATCGCCGCGTGCACCGGATACCAGGTCTCGGACCAGCGACGGGAAAATGTTAGTCACCGTCGCGATACTCGACTCGTGGCCCATCAGCACTGACGGGGCGAGCAACTGGAAGGAAGTACGCTCGTGTTTAAATAATTTTCAAGGAAAAAACTAAAATATACAGTGGGTATGATTTACAAACGAGTCACAAGACCTTAAACTAGACAAAAGTATGTCCTTTTCATTCTCTATCTATATATATAAAACTCAAAGGTGACTGACTGACATAGTGATCTATCAACGCACAGCCCAAACCACTGGACGGATCGGGCTGAAATTTGGCAGGTAGATGTTATGACGTAGGCATCCGCTAAGAAAGGATTTTGATCAATTCTACCCCCAAGGGGATAAAACAGGGCAGGGCAAACAGGGAATGAGAGTTTGTATGAAACTTGGTCAATTTTAAACCGATCGGGCTAAGACTTTGCATGCAGGTATAAGAAGAATCATAGATGAATGTCATTGTGTAATACAAGCCTGAGAACAAAAACTGTAGTCTACACTTCAGCTCTACACCGAAGCGAAGCTAGGGCGGGCCGCTAGTAAAAAATAAAAGGAAAGACTGATGTCAAATTCTTGACTTGATTGGCTTATAGAATCATTCCTTAATCAGGCCCATTTTCAAAATAATCTTTATGGGATGAAATCACGACAATCCTTTTGGATACTTTTTCGAACCCATAAATGAACGTCTGATTTCAGCGGACTCACCCGTCTCACCACCGACAGCTTTCCTGATTCTGACGAGATTCTCTAAACACAAAGCTAATGGCGCAATTACACTGTGCACGAAATACATTACTCGATTTCGGGCACCCTACGCAATAATAACATTGTTTTATCACGTTCGGGTAATGGAACACGGGCAAAAGATGTGCATCTGAATTGAGTGATCCTTGTTTAGTTTTCAATAAAACCAAGACGTACATTTAGTGTAAAATTGTCAAAACTCATAACAGAAAACAAAAATTTGTCACTCAAAGGCGATCGAAGATATTGCCTAAAATGTGGATCAGTCAATTCAGACATTAGGCAAAATAGTATACGCTGAATCTCAGAAAACTTTAACGCTGTGAACGAAATTTTGATATTAAAAAATTGTACAGAATTTGTCACATTATTTTACAAAAAATCAAGTTACATCAACGTAAATCCAGGAATCTATGGTAGTTTCATTGCATCACTCAATCCTGACGCATTTAGATTGAGTGATCCTAGAAATACGGCGTTATGTCTACGAATTGCATAATATTTTTTTGTCATCTTAAAGGTAACTTTTGGAAATATCTGTCTTACTAGTTTGTTCGAATTCCATTAGCAATCGTATTTGGGTTAACGACCAAATGTAATATTGCATCTTGAATTTGATATCAGCCTTTCCTTTTTATTAAGAACATGATACGAAAATATAATCAAAAATTTTAGGTCTAAGGTTAATAAAATTCTGCTTGGGGGTTCTCGAAGCTCACGTATTATCCCTGAGAGAAGCCGGCAGAGCTTAGCAGAGTCCGGACTTGGGTGGTCAGGGTTCTGCGTTGTACAGGCCTCGTATGATACAGTATTTTAAAAACCTGATCATAACTATCATATTAGTGGTACAAGATTTACTCACGTGGTTTGCAATGAACACCCTGTGGTCGGGGGCCAGAAGTTCCTCCAGCTGAATGGCTACATTGAGGTCTGCCTTGAAACCTTTGAAGTTGGGAATTCGCCTCACAGCTTCTTTGTAAAGCTCCGGGATGTTCACTGAAAATTTAAATTTTTAGTGACGTGACATATTGCTATACTATACACTTACGTTAAGCCGTTGGTACCAGCTGCGTCTGCAGTCGGTAGAACCCACTAATCCGCACTGGAGCCGCATGGTGGGTTATGGCCCAATCTCCCTGTTCCATCTATGGATGGAACCAAAATCGGAGAAAAAACCCTGTGCCTTAGCAGTGGGGAGTTGGGGACATTAATAGGCTGAAGATGATATTAAGCCCTTTGCAAAGCTATCAGAGATTTGCAGGTCCGGCAGCATTACAAACAAATTAAACATTGGTATTATTTATCATTTTCATTAATTACCAGCGGGCACGTATGAAATAAAGAATGTGAATTGCGCAAAATATGTGCACGGATCGTGCCTCATGGCGCTCTGTTCTCTCTGCCTACCCCCAACCAGGGCACGGGGTGGAGATAGATAAATTTCCATTAATTTATTTTTATGTAGATATGCTGAGTTAAATAATGATCGATAATTGCATACTGTCAACGCCGCTCATGACCGGGAAGTGGTAGTAGATGAGAGGCGTTGAGGGTGCCGCTGCAAACACCTCCCGGTAGTCCACCAGCTGGGCCGGGTCTATACATGCTACTATAGGTAAGTATAATGATCGATGATTGCATACTGTCAACGCCGCTCATGACCGGGAAGTGGTAGTAGATGAGAGGCGTCGAGGGTGCCGCTGCAAACACCTCCTCCAGGTAGCCCACCAGCTGGGCCGGGTCTATACATGCTACTATAATAAGTAAGAATAATGATCGATGATTGCATACTGTCAACGCCGCTCATAGCGGGGAAGTGGTAGTAGATGAGAGGCGTCGAGGGTGCCGCTGCGGACACTTCCTCCAGGTAGTCCACCAGCTGTATCGGTGTCCTCGGCTTGAAGTACAGCTCCGGGAGGGTCATCATACCATCAGCTTTTACCAGCTCTACGTGCTTTGCCTGAAGTACGAATAAATACTAAATAATAGTAGATTGCATGGAGCGTAGTACCGATCGTAACTGGTTACGAACAGATTTTGTTGGTGGAAACTGGTTTCGAACTAGGAAGAAAACATTCTCGAACTGATTATGATCAAAGACAAATAATTCTTCGATCGCAACTGGTTTCGAAACACAGTTACGGTGGCGGACGAAGGAGTGAGTTATTTATGCGCGAACGCGAGGGCAGTAAATTAACACGAGTGCATTAATTACTTACTTTAGCAAGGTGCGTAATCTATTTTTCTTTCTACTTCCTATCAATCTATCTACCCTGATAAAATATAGGTACCTACTAAAAATTCAAACTCAAGTATATGAAAACAAAGTTTACTTCATCTTCTCAAACATTTTAAACTTACAAATTATTCATATGTAGTAATTAAAAGTGAAATTCGCACTTCTATTTGGGACATTTACTTTAGTTTTATTTAGTCAGTAGAAAACGGCCCCCAAAATTATACAATTGTCGAAAGTGTGAATCATCTTAAAGTCGGATCGGATATTACACTATAGGAATAATAAGTATATCGAACCATTTATAATTTGTAAATCAAGGTCAGTGGTGTCGATTTTGACATGATTCTCCAAACATAAACTTAAATTTCACACTGTATCCTTGTCATTCTCTTTAAAGAATAAAAAGGAGAGACTGATGTCAAATTTAGTTTTAAGTTTAGAGAATCATGCCGGAATCGATACCTTTATCTGCATAAAAATCTCTAGGGACTTATTTAGTTGACCAGAGACCAACCAATATTTTTTTTTTTATATCATGTGTATCGTGGGAGACATGTGGTAAAATATCGTACTTTTATGGATTATCTATCTTTATTAAAAACTAGAATGTATTTGAAGTGGCACACGTACTGGCAAGAGACTCATCTTGAAAAGGTGCATGGTATGCTAGCATACAGAATGAAATTCCGAAGAAGCCATGGTACTTTAGGTTAAAAAATCCATCAAGAAAATACATAACGACTATAAAATAATGCATTTAGAAGACGACGACAAGTGTCGCTATTGTGATACAGGACAAATAGAAACACTTCAACATCTCATCCTGGAATGCGGAGCTTTCAGTTTATAAAGACTAGTTTTGATAAATGGCTTACTTAAGACCTACAAAAACAACGATATCCCCAATCATTTGCCATCTATCATTGAAACCAAGAGTGTTATGAAATACTATTTGAGTTCATTATAAATACTTTCGGCAAGATATAGATGACATACCACTAATGACTGGCCAATATGGGAAACTCCAAGGCCGTAAAAATTATAAATAAAAAAAAACGAGTCCGAAGCCGTTGGTACAGCGCGATTCAGGTGCCATTGGTACAGCGCCATCTAACGGCAACATTGTGGAACTAATAAAATTTAATTGTGTTCTTTTTTAAAGCTATTTTTTATTTTGTTTTTTAAACCAAGGTTTTACGCATTATGAACAAAATTATCTTTTAATGTTTTCTTCGAATGAATTTTTATTGGTTAAGATTTTTTTAATACATTAGTTGAACGACTATTACTTTTAAACTAACTGTACCCCTAGCACGAACCAATGTCGAATTCGAATCGTTTGCGAGTCCGAAATGTCATTGTCAAATGTGTACCGATTTTTAGTTCTCGTTAGGTACTTTGTGCCGCTGCTGTTCAAGTTTCCATACAAAATTTGACATTGACATCAATTCGGTTTGCAAACTATTCGAATTCGATATTGGTTCGTGCTAGGGGTACTGATCTGTTTTAACCGTTATAATTTTCCTTTAAAGTTCATGAATAGCATATCATGAATGAAAACAACACATTTGGGAAAACTACAAATATTTAGGTAAATTGCAGACGGACCACACCCCAAACGGAATAAGATAGAAAAACGGCTAAATATTTCGGGTGCATTTTAAATAGGTTTATAGTCCCTATTCCTATAAAATATAAATATCAGAGGAAAGTTACTAAGTTATTTACTCACAAGCGCCAAAACATCTGGCATGGGTGCCCCGCCCACTTGTGCCATGACCTTCAAGCCGAGAGGTCTGGCCGCTTTAATCCAACACTCCAGCAGGTTCTGTCTCTCCTCAACAGACAAACACATTGCCTGCCCTGATGTGCCACCCACTGAAATAACGACATTCTAGATAGATATTGAGTGAGTCTGGAATTACTCTTATAATCCGTACTATTTAGAGCAAAACTATCAAGTAATACCGGTATGTGAATTCGGATCGGACTATTACTAAGCAAGATTCAGAGACCAACTCCATTACCTAGTCAGGTCATAAATTCTGTCACATGTTTAATATAAAATAATTGAAACAAGTTTATTCATTATGTAACCATTTATATACCAAAATGAACTTAACAAAACATAGATTCTTATGACAATAAAGTTTATTCAAAATGACCTCCGTGATTTTGAATACAGGCCTTCAATCTGCGCGGCCAGTCGTCTATCGCAGCACGAACGAGGTCCATGTCAATATCGGCGGCTGCCTTAATCAAGGATGTCTTGAATGACTCCAAATTGCGATGAGGCTTTGAGCACGCCTTTTCCTCCAAGTGTTGCCATATCTTGTAATCTAACGGACTCAAATCTGGACTGGAGGAGGGCTAGTCTTCGTGCCGGATGAAGTCGATTTCACGCGCCGAAAGCCAGTCTTGTGTGCTCTTCGCTCTATGAGCTGGCGCCGAATCTTGTTGGAATACCCAGTGCCTGTTATTGAACATGGTATGAGAAACAGGTTCCACAAGGTTCGAACAAGGACTGTATTTTGATACACAACTGCATTCGGTTTTACACCTTTCTCACAAAAATGTACCTCTGTTAAGCCCCAATGAGAAACTCCCAACCATACCATGAGCGAGGATGGAAAATGACCTCGTTGGACACGCGGAATACGGTTGCTCGCTTCTTCACTACTGTGTGCGTACACCTTATCATTTTGTTTGTTGTAGCTCTCTTCTACGGTAAAAATTTTTTCATCCGAAAAAAGAATTTCCCGATATTTTTTTTCCGCGTACCGCTTCAACAAAGCGCGACATCTCTTCAGTCTCAGGTCCATTAGACGTGCATTCAAACGATGTTCTGTTTTTCTTCGATATGCCCGGAGCCCTAAGTCTTCATTTAACACCCTTTTCACCGTGGTGCTGCTTAACCCCATCTGAAGGGCCAACAGTTTCTGCTTACGTTTGGGATTTCTTTGAATTCGCGCCTTCACAGCTTTTATCACCGCTGGAGTCCTAACAGACCGAGGGCGACCACTTCTTAACCTGTCATCTACACTAGAGTCTTCATTGTATCATTTGATGGTACGATAAACGAATCTTTTGGTTATATTCAATTTTTTCAGTATGTCAAAGTTTTGAATTGGCGCCTAACCGCAACGATGCAACGCAATAACTGCAACATGGTCTTCTTTAAACGTCCACTCCATATTTAAAAATGAGTAAAATTCTAAAAAGCATACATTTTTATTTTCATGAACAATTCGAAATTCGAATTCAATAAACTTTTTTGTGGCCAGCATTCTAAAATAAAAGTTTTTACTGTGTGACAATACTTATGAGCTGACTGTGTATTTGACGAGATCATAATGTGTGCCATGAAAAAGATAAAATGTGCCTTACTAATCAAATAAATCGTGGTCCAATAGTGGAAGTTACAGTATTTTAAAAAATCTTTGAAAATCTCATTTTGAGAGTGGGCCTAATATAGCCAATCGTAAAGTTTTAAAATTACTGTTACAAATTTTTTACTTCAGTTCTTTAAACTTTTTAAGGATTTTGTTTACAAAATGCATAGGTGCATATTACATATTATATGTCAAAAACTATCCACCCCATTCAAAGCCTTGTCAGGCTTATTCCGCAGCGCTCCCAGTCCTGTAGTATGAGCACCACAACCTTAGAGCATTTACGACGTAAATGCTCTAAGACCACAACATATTAAACATTACAACACGCGTCTAACTGTCAAACTCCAAAGCATTTTGACAATTGGACGTAGTTACGCGAAAACGTTCCAACCCACAAGTCACTCGAAAATGAGTTACCATAACCAGGGTACTATTTTTGACATATTACATCATGTGCACACAAAGATGCTAGTATTTTTAGGTTAGTTTCATCAATAAAGTTTAACCCAAATGTTCCAACCCACCATTATGCCAAGGACGTGTACTCAAAATAAAGTAAAAACATTACATGCATACTGAAACATATTGTTAAAAACTCTTAATAGAATAACATATCGTTATAATGTTCCACTTGTCTTGGAACATTATACTAAATTCATAAAACGCACATTTAATGGTTTCTTAAATGATCCATGTGGGTTGGAACGTTTTTGCAAAATCTTTATACATTTTTTATTTCTGCAAAAATGTTCCATGTAATTTGAAACCTTTTAGATTAATCCATACTGTTTTTTTAAGCTGCGAACACTGTTCTAAATAAATTGAAACCTTTTATTATAATATATTATTTCCTAATTTTTTGCTATAAACAATCCACATATACTTGATCCATTTTTGCTATTAAGTATGTTCTAGAGAAAAAGATATTTTTTACCAAAATAAATAACTATGGTATATTTGGACGTAGTAACGAGAAAATGATCCAACCCACAGCAACCCCAATTTGAGATAAACGCAATTTACACACTTTTCCCCTGTAATTATTTCAGGCAAATACTATTGGTTTAACTATGGAATGCCAAACTGATTATTGAATGATATGCATATTTTTTGTAAATACTTAATACAAGGGGCATATAAATAGGTAAAACGAGTTTGAAATGTTTTTGCTAAATTAATTTTGTATGAACCTTGTTAAATAGCAATTATGCATAAACTTTCCAAAACGAATTTCAGTGTATTATTTTATAAAAATAAACCAAAAAGAAATATGTAAAATAATAAATAACAATGAGGAACATACAAAAACAACAAAAAAAATATTTGAAAATGTATTACAAAAAAATAGAACGTGATCTTTTGAGTTTAGAACCTATGCCAAAAATTTGCTGATATGGTTCCAAAAGTTATCAAAAACTTATATTATAAACATTCAATTTTCATCATCGTATTCTATGATCTCGAAGTCCGGAACTCCACCAAACCCATCAACATCATCAGTGCTTCTTCAGAACTTTGAAGCGTTCTATAAAATTGAAGGCAATCCTCCGGTATGTAGTGGTACATGGATTGTAAGTCCACTAATTTCGCTGGAGCAATCGGTTTGTCGTTAGGCCACAATAAGCAAAAATCAGATTCTTTTATGTATTGCAGTTCTCGTTTTATTCTTTTATCAATTTTCAACTCATTGAAATCGTCTTCCATCGTAGACCGCATAAAAATAGAAAAAATCATATCTTTATCCAACTTAATTTCTTTTGTATGTAGCCAACTAACTTTAGATGAGTCTGTAAACTTCTTCCTATTGATAATCTTCTTTTCCAGTTTAGTTGTACTATAAAATCAGTCTTTGTCATTTTGTAAACTTGAAGAGGTTTAACTTTTTTACTTAGTTCTACAATAGTGGTATCCATAGTGCATCTAATGATACTGGGCATTGTTATGTATTGGTAGAAGGAGAGGTAGGAAGAGGTGCACAGGAAGTGGATTGCCTTCTGTTCTGAAGAAGCACTGATGATGTTGATGGGTTTGGTGGAGTTCCGGACTTCGAGATCATAGAATACGATGATGAAAATTGAATGTTTATAATATAAGTTTTTGATAACTTTTGGAACCATATCAGCAAATTGGCATAGGTTCAAAGCTCAAAAGATCACGTTCTATTTTTTTTGTAATACATTTTCAAATTTTTGTTGTTTTTGTATGTTCCTCATTGTTATTTATTATTTTACATATTTATTTTAGATATATTTATAAAATAATACACTTAAATTCGTTCTGGAACGTTTATGCATAATTGCTATTTAACAAGGTTCACACAAAATTAAATTTAGCGAAAACGTTTCAAACTCGTTTTACCTATTTATATGCCCCTTGTATTATGTATTTACAAAAAATATGCATATCATTCAATAACCAATTTGGCATTCCACAGTAACACCAATAGTATTTGCCTGAAATAATTACAGGGAAAAAGTGTACCGCTAAAACACAAAATTGCGTTTATCTCAAAATGGGGTCGCTGTGGGTTGGAACGTTTTCGCGTAACTACGTCCAATTGAGCGTGATAAAAACGCGTTAATATCATATCGCGGTGTTCTTGCTCGGCTGGAGGTCAAAGACCCTTGTGAATAGATCGCTCTCAACTTTTATATTAATGTATAGTAAACATGACAGTTAGGGTACGGCCAGAGTGCACTCAGATTCAGATTCAGACTCAGAAAACAAGCGCGAGAAATAAACAGTGTAGTTAAAGCAGGGTGGCCATAGTGATAGCAGGCACTCTGGCCGTACCCTTAGGGTGCGGCCAGAGTGCACTCAGATTCAGATTCTGAAAACAAGCGCGAGAAATAAACAGTGTAGTCTAAGCAGGTTGCCTGCTTTTTCTCGCGCTTTGTTTTCTGAGTCTGAATCTGAATCTGAATCTGAATCAGGAGTGCACTGTGGCCGTACCCTTCGACTACACTGTTTATTTCTCGCGCTTGTTTTCGGAATCTGAATCTGAATCTGAGTGCACTCTGGCCGCACCCTAAGGGTACGGCCAGAGTGCACTCAGATTCAGATTCAGACTCAGAAAACAAGCGCGAGAAATATACAGTGTAGTTTAAGCAGGTTGCCTGCGGCCACTATGGCCACCCTGCTTTAACTACACTGTTTATTTCTCGCGCTTGTTTTCAGAATCTGAATCTGAATCTGAATCTGAGTGCACTCTGGCCGTACCCTTATGCGGGCAATCTTGAGTACGATTTGAGATGCTGTTTTGTATGAAAACAGTTCAGTCAGTTCACTTCAGTCTCAGAGTTGAGAGCGATCTATTAATAAGTATCGCCAATTCGCTAAAAACATGGTTTGAATTGCAATTCAAGAAATCGGCTCAGCAGATTTCGATGTGTGTTTGTGTGAACGATTCTGTCTGTATAAGTATTGCTGTCGTGAAAAAACAACAAAATTAAAGTCAAATCATACTTATTAAAAAATACCTACATTATACTTCAATAATCTTACTGTAGGTGTTTTATTAACGACGGTAATTATTTTACAATTTAATTCTTTAACTAAAATAAGAGGTATGTTTTTTAAACTCATGGCGGATGTCGTAATGTCCTCAATAATGATAATTGCGTCAGTAAGATAAACGAGAAGTTAAATCGCAGTTTCATTAAACGAAACTACAAATAATGTAAAACATTGTGTCAAGTAGGTCCTAGGTATAGATAAATGATTGGTCTACGCTACTGAAGTGAGACCAATCATTCATCTATGGTCCTAGTTATGTACATTTTCCCTACAAAAGGTAGTCAATAGATATCCTATTTAAAAGTCCAATGCATCTCTATCCCAAAATTTATAAATATTTTAATGTATAGTAAATATGACAGATATAGCTAGACAAATGAGCTTAGTATTCCCTCTTTTTCGAGTACCTAGGTATTCTTGACTTACCAGCGGGTATGTAGCGACTTGGCTAGATTGAACGGGGTTCCACAATTTCGCACGCTCTCTCACCACTCATTCGAGGGACTACTCTCTAGCATCTTCAAAATGTGTTTCGGGTGACCGGTGCAGGATTATTCTCTAGTTGTTAGCAGATCATTTCGTTATGTTATGGTGTGCGGGAAGCAGTCTTGTATATTCCCGTGTTGCTACTCTCGGTGGGCGGGGAAGGTTTCAGACCATTTTTGTGACATAAAAAAGGTATACTTGCCTACTAAACCATCAACGCCATTTTCGCTCAAGTGCTTTGCATATTCAGGTATGACAGTCAAGTTCATTTGCCCCCGGTTGTCTACTGGTGTGAACACTGGCGCTATGACGCCCTTCACACTGAAGTGAACCTGAGGGGAGAAGTAACCAATGTTAAAGTAAGGTTTTATTGAAGATCTCAAGCTATTTTCTTACGCATGTATCACATTGTTTGAAGAGATGGCTCTTCTCTACAGTTTTTTTTTTCAATAAAATACATTATGTCTACTTATAACTGGATCAAGAAGCTTATATCAAAGCAGAGAAAAGTTGCCGGCTTGAAATGGAGCGCCTGCGCCTGTCTGGCTAAGTGCCCGTACAGTAAATTATCACTAACTTTTGGTGGTGCAGTGTTTCTGTTTGAATGGTTCCACGGGGTAGGGTATTGGATTCAGGCCGGCAAGCTGGCAACCGCCTGGATTGCGAAATACGATACCTTGGATATTTTCTAACACAAAGTCTATTTATATAATAATAATTTAAATAGTGACTTACCATTTTGATTATTAGAAGAATTTACTGCTTCACTGTGACTCGGCTGGACAGGCCTGGTTCTAGTTCGACGGTGGAGAGAAAACTGTGAGGACACTCGATATATGGTAACTTAATAGCTGCCGAGTACCTACTGTCACTGGCCCTATCAGCAGGGCTGTCACAAATGAAAAGTCTTTATTGAATAGGCTATTTGACAGTATGAAAAAATAAGTACCAATTGTTGGCATTTGTATTTAATATGAATTAGCAGCGATTTCACTTTTCAGAAAAAACAAGAATTAATAACTATTTAATAAAATCATTTAGTAGAAATGTTTTTTTGCTCTAATATGACGTGACCGAAAGCGACTGGGATTGGCGTAGACTAAAATGACGTCACACGCTAGTAAACTTCCGGTCAAAGTGACATTACATAGTAACTTTTGACGTTTTAATGACAGTCGTGCGACGTAACACACCAGTGAGGCGCCATAATGTCCAACGAAACGTTTACGCGGCAACTTGAAAATTGAAATTTTGACTTAGTTTTTTGTACTGTAATTCTCAATAGAATGATGAATATCCATTCTTTTTATGGACTCTACAAACAACTAAAAAATGTGAGATCTTTTTCTAAAACTGGTCAAATAAACTATTGAATGCGCTTGTTTTAAACTCTTTATTGCACAACGCAATTAGTCATTGAAAGGCCCCGATTGTGGTGATGATTCTCAAAATTAAAAACAAGGAAACAATGTTGTAAAATTTAATTTTGCGTTTAGAGAATCATGGAAGATTCGGACCCCAAAATGAAAAAAAAGTGATTTGTTCACTTTTTTTTTCATTTCAGGAGGAGGAGGAGCAGTACTAAGTTAAATATTAGTTTATTTACTAAAAATAGTGAAATACATACACTTAATAATAGAAGTAAAAATAAGTTAACTTTACCTGCTACTAGGCTCCACAAAATTAATAATTCGTTTAGAGGTCTCTGTGTTCGCTTTTACAATAAAGTCCCAAGCAATATTCAAGAGTTAAGCCTAACTAAATTTAAATCGACCATTAAAAAATCTCTTGTTAACAAAGCTTATTATAAAGTGTCTGATTATATTACAGACAAAAATGCTTGGGGTTGAACTGTTCCAACCATTCCAACGGGTATTTCTATATGATATATATTATGAATCATGTGGTGACGATACTTCTATTGAAAAGCTGTATTTAAAGTTGATTACATAAGGGAGAATATCAGACTATTTAAGAAGATTTGAATGACAAAACGGCGTGGTCATGATTTCTCCATTGTTTTTGCTTTGTAATTGTATGCAGTGTCCTACAGATAAATGACTTTAATTTTAAGTAAATATGTTGTGGTTGATACAGGTGGTTATGGGTAGTCATACTCTCATAAAAGTCTCTTCGGTGGTGTCGTGTGAGGCGGGTCGTTACATTCCCTAAAATATGGTTGAGCGAAGCGATGGCTGGTTCATGCGTCATGCTCGTGAACGGGTGCTGCCAGCGGAGATGAGTCTGCCCTAACTACTTTCATATTTAACATGTAAATGTTAAATTACACCAATTATAAATAACTCTGTTTGTATTTATATTGTGTGACACAGCAAACAAAATGCAGGTGAACAATTAATGTATAATTTTATTCAATTAATGTATAGTGTATAAATTATCTCTGAAGTCATTTTTCAACTTGACGACTCTGTAAATGATAAAACAGGGAGAAAAAAACAGCCCTTGCTGAGTTTCTTGCCGGTTCTTCTCAGTACAAGGTCTCCCGCCGTAAATTTACGAACCGATGGCGTAGCTTCTAGACATTCATATGTGCTTGTAACAGCCTAAACTGAATAAATGATTTTGATTATGATGATAGTATTAAAGGTTGAGGGAAAAAGAGAATGTAGGCATAGTTTCCCGTCATAATATTTCTTATGACTTATTGTGATACAAAAGGTAAATAAATATACTTTAATATAAAAATATTGATCACATCAAGAAAAATAAATGATGTCACGCTTATTCAACCTTATACATCAATAAAATAAAATATGCTTAGTTAGCTATTAAAATTCAAATTTCTTTGGCACATTTGCTGCCCGTAGCGTACATTAGGTATTTTACCGATTTCTGTTTTCAATCTGTAAAGAGTCAATTTGTCACATTCTGTAACTATAAATAATAACTGTCTAACCTGTGTCTGGTAGCCCTGTGTGAACTACATTAGGTAACCACATCCATCAAGCTAAGTCTGCACAATATTTAACAACAATACCTGAAAATGTTGCGCAATCAAATCAATAGTTTTGCAACTAACATATATATTATTATTTTATTATAAGTACATAGTTAATAAGCCATTTTTTCATTTCCTTCCAGTTCCAGAGCCCGAATAATGAACTCATGCCAGACTAAGAAACGGATGTTGAAGAGGGATGCTGCTCAATGCTTATCTGTGCATACTAAGTGGTATTTCGTTCTAACAACGGAACTTGCTTGTCGTTAACAGTTCATAATAGGCAGGTAAGTAGGCGAGGGAATGGATGAGAAGTCCTCATGCATACCTCAAAGTTGGCTTTAATAGGGTAACGATAAGGATTTCTCAGGCGCATAAGTCAGATTCTAACTGACGTCAGCTAAATAGCGGTAGGTAGGTAGGGAACGTTCGAAATTATGTATGGACTGAGAAAGCGAAAAAAAAGCGATGGTGCAGCCAATACCTATACCATCTATGGCTGCACGATCGCTTTGTCTCTTTCACACTTACCTGCGGGAATTTTACTTTACAGTTTGTCATTGAATCTCTCTCTCTCTCTCTCTCTCTCTCTCTCTCTCTCTCTCTCTCTCTCTATATATATATATATATTTTAAATCTCTATATATAATACATACACACACATATACATTATCATTAAAATATGTAATAAATTATAATTTCTATTATTTTAAAGCATGTAACTGCTTGATGTTTAAATCTAAAGAAAAGGTAAATTTAAAAAATCAAAAAACCCGACTGCTTAATTATTCTTCAAATAAAAACTGAAAAGAAAAAAACAAGTCCAGTAGTCTATAATTCTGTTAATAAGGAACAAAGCTACTTTAACAGTCGGGACCCATTAGATATTCAGGAATACATAATATTTTTCAACAGTGGGTCCCGACTGTTAAAGTAGCTTTGTTCCTTATTAACAGAATTATAGACTACTGGACTTGTTTTTTTCTTTTCAGTTTTTATTTGAAGAATAATTAAGCAGTCGGGTTTTTTGATTTTTTAAATTTACCTTTTTTATTTCACACTTTTTAGTTAGTATTTTAAGACGGTTATTTCAGTAAGGGAATTAATATCGCGGGAATTATTAAATACCTTGCGTCGGTCTAAAAGATTGATTTATTAAGACATATAAAGACTTTACCAGCGGGGTCAAGGCTACAGATGGGCCTCAATTTTCGCAAAAATGTGTGAAGTTAAATCAAGTCATTACATAAATATCTCTAATGTATGTAAATTTTATAGTAAACTAGCACTTACTCAAAAAGTCATCTTTTGTTATGTTTTTTTAATAGTTTAGCAGTAAATATAAAATTCATTTACTTTTATTCGTCGACTATTTAAAATTGGCAGTGGCTGCATTGTCATGTCAATGCCGGACGTCTAAGATTGTGATATACACAAATTCAGTGTCCGCCCCTAGTCTCATAATTTGATATACCTACATAATTCACAGAAACCCAATATGTAGATGCCAGAAGTTAACTTCAAATGTTTTTAATCACCCTATATACAATACCAATCAATGACATTTATGTCGCAGGTTGAAGAAGGCAGTAATTCCCGTCTGTTGTTTTGGACAATGGTGGCAACTGCCTTAGATCACTAAATTAATAATTATGCAATCACCAAAGCAAAGTTTATAATATTTGCTTAAACTAAAGGCGCATAATAAAATTTTCATAACGTTAGGCAGAGCACCATAGCAATCTCATTTATTATCAATTTATAGTTTTCTTTGTAGTTTTCTTTTAAAGCGTTCACATTTAACAGGTCAAAGACTTTGTGTTCGACCCTTTTTTATTGGTAGTGTAAAGCTCGAATGAAGAGTACTCCCAGTAGTGCAATCATGGCAATTATTTTCCAAATTTTTTTTGTTATAAAAATATCGAATAACGTATCACTATTAAGCACAAATGCTAGGTAACTTTTACAAATACACACATCAAAAGTGTCTAGGGATCAAGCATTTTTATGCGGATTTCTTGAGATTGAGATGTGGCTTTGTAATAAATTTATGATTTTATAAATTTATATGGATCCTTTTTGGTGCATTTCATAATTTAAATCAGGAACTGTGAATCAAATTCGAGTAAAAGACGAAAATCAGCTGTCAATATTTTCCCTATAAAAACATACAACGCATTGAAGACATTATTAGTGCTACTGTTTCCCTACTACTGATTAAAACCAACGTTATTATGGAGCGGCGACGTCATTTAAGCAGGGAAGAAATGCTCAGAGCCGTGGGAATGATAGAAGCTGGTTCCCGGCAACGTACTGTGGCTTTAGCTCTGAATACAAGTCAGAGTGTTATCAGTCGACTTTGGACACGATACCGAAGCACTGGTACCGTGGCTGAGCGCCATGGAGGACGGTATCGCTGCACCACACGGAGACAAGACCGATACATTCAAATCTTAACTCGAAGAGCTCCAACAATAACCGCCATGATGTTAGCCGTGAGGCTTCATCACTCTTCAGGGAACTTAATTAGCGACCAAACAGTCAGAAACCGCTTGCATGAAGTGAACCTTCATTCCCGAAGACCGCTACGGGTACCACCTATAGCAATGCACAATCGTAGGATTCGATATCAATGGGCTCTTGAACACAGAAATTGGGCAGAAGAACAATGGCGTTTCGTGTGCTTTTCTGATGAGTCTCGTTTTGGTATGAGACCGGATACAAGACGTATACGACACTGGAGAACCCCTGGACGCCAACAGCGATTAAAATCCTGCCAGGAAGTCCATCCTTATAGTGGTGGAACCATCATGGTATGGGCGGGTATTTGGATCGGCGG